CTTGCCAGCAGTGACCAAGAGAAAGACACCCTCCCCCCCCACCATCATCACAGGACAATTTATTTCCTTTTCTTTTATAGAGATGGACAATGGAGGCATCTTTGATCTCCTGGGGGTTGCATATAACCCAGATTTCAGTCAGCCTCTGTATGAGCAGTGCATCCCTTCCTTGTAGATCTCTGCTGGGATGGAATCAGCATCAGGCACTTTGCTACCTGAGAGAAGCTTAATGTCATTCAAAACATCTTCTTCAGTTGAAGTTTGGCTAGTGAGGAATTGACTTCAGCTTGAGGTATATGGTCAATGGCTTTAGCATTGACTGATGACAGGCTTTTGAGAACACTATGGAAGCGTTCAGCCCCCTCTTCATGATCATCTCCTTATTACTGATCAATATGTCTCCACCACTGCTGAGTAGTTGAGATGCACCAGAGGTCTTTGGCCCATAGATGGACTTAGGGCAACAGAGAAGCACTTTGGATTGTTGCTGTCTGTCTAAAACTGATTTTCATCTGCCTTCTTATTAAGTCAAGAATCCTGCATCTCCCTAAACTTTGCTTGCTCTTTGTTTTTGTTTGTTTGTTTGTTTTTTGGAGAGGCAATCAGGGTTAAATGACTTGCCCAGGGTCATGCAGCTATTGCACTTTACTTTTGATGGAATTAAATGCTGCCTTCTTAGAGATGGATAAATGGTCCTGCTGGTAAACCCTGAAAAACCTTGTTTTTCATTTAGCAGCTTCTGAATTTCCCCACTATTTTTGTGAAACTAATCCTGGTGTTTTTGAGTGTTCTGGCCCAGATGAGCAAATATGGTGCTCTACAACCAGTCTCTGACAACTTCCCACTCTTTCTGCTCTGCTGTTGAGAACTGTGCACTGACTCAGCTTTCCACCAGATCAGCAATAAACTGTTCCCACAAAGGGAAGCACTCGAACCTGTTGATGTTTAGTCTCCTGACAGTCATTCTGCTTTGGGGCTGCCACTTTTGTTGAATGTGAATGTTTAGCTTAGAGAGGATACGTCTATGATCAGTTCAATACTCTGCACCACACATTGCTTTCGTCACTCTCACATCTTGCCTGTCTCTTCTCTCTCCAGTGATGTAGTCTATTATATGCCAGTGCCTTGCTGTGAGGGTGCATCTGTGATATTTTGTTGCGTTTAGGTAAATGGAAGACAGTGTTGGCAATGAGAAGGTCATGAGATGCATGAGCCTTCAATAGTAAGTGACTGTTTCTGTTTCTGACTCCATTTCTCCCAAGGACTCCCTGCCATATCTAATAGTCTGTGTCTACTCTGGCATTAAAGTTACCCAGAAGCACAAGCTTATCCTCTTTTGGCAAACTGATGAAAACATCTTCATAACACTTTTCTGGGGGCAGCTAGGTAGCATAGTGGATAGAACACCAGCCCTGGATTCAGGAGGACCTGAGTTCAAATCCAGCCTCAGACACATAACACTTACTAGCTGTGTGACCCTGAGCAAGTCACTTAACCCCATTACCTAGCCAAAAACAAACAAACAAACAAAAAAACACCTTTCTGTGACCTCATCAAGGTTCATTATGGTGGGAGCATATGCACTGATGATGGTGGAATGGCACTTCCTACACGTGGCATTCTCATTGTCATGAATCTGCCATTCACTCCTTTTAGAAGGCATATAAGCTGGCTGACTAGATTAGATCTGATTTTGAAACCTTTGGTGGCTTCAAGGAAGCCCTCACCACAGCACCACTGCAGAAAAACATGTATCCAGCTGCAACTTCAGTGAGTAGTTGCAAAAAATGGGAATGTGACGAGATGGGGCAGGGAAAGGGGAAAAGCATTTATATAGCACCTACTAAGTGCCAGGCACTTTGCTAAGTGCATTACAAAAAAGTATTTTGTCACAACCATATACTATACCTTATTCAGTCATTCCTCAGTTTATGGGCCACCCCCTCATATTCCCATTTTTGCCTCCTTCAAAAGAGCTATAAATATTTTTGTACATTCTTATTTAGTTTTTTTTTATGCTTAGGACTAATTCCTTCCTTAATCTACCCTCCCTCTAATTTCCCCTTCTCTCTTGAAATAGGATGTCTAGGAAAGACTTTTTTTTTTGTTTGTTTTGTCATAGCTTTAAGGCAGTTTTAAGTTATCTCTTTGATCTATTTTCTAGGCCAGTTGTTTTTGCTATGAGATACCTTAGATTTTCTTCTATTTTTCTCCAGCCTTTTGACTTTGTTTTATTTGTTTGTTGTCTCCTAGAGTCATTGGCTCCTACTTGGTCCATTCTAATTTTCAGGAAGTTTGTTACTTAGGCGAAGTTTTATATGATTCTGTGCCAACTTGTTAATTTCTTTTCCAATTCTTTCTTCCATGGCTCTTATTTCTTTTCCAATTATTTCTTCTAGTGCTCTCATTTCATATATAAATTTTTTTTTAACTTAAAAAAAGAACCAACCTCTTGCTTCATCTCTTCCAAGAACTATAACTGAATTTATGCCCAAGATATGTTTTGCTTTGAGGTTTTGCTTGTAGAGGTTTTGAAGTTCTATTCTTCTAAGTCTGAGTTTTGAGCATCCCTGTCAACATCATAACTTTTAACAATGATACTCTTATTTTTGTTCGTTCGCTCATTCTTCAACTTCCTTCCTGACTTTGAACTTAATTTTAGGGGTGGGCTCTTCACACTTTTCTAGGGAAGGTCTGGGCTGGTTCTGTTGTTGCTTTCTTGGAGTATTGAGTTATATTATTTCAAAATCTCAGGAACAGCTCAGGCAAGGGATTTGCAAGCTCTCAGTGCTCCCAAAGTGATCCCATCCAGGGCAAAGTCTAATTGGTCTGAGCTCTGCAAGTTTTTGACTTAAGTCTGGGGCTGGGCAACAGTAGACTGCTGCTAGACTTAACCCTCATCAGCCAACTGGAAAGCTTTGATGGTTTAGAATGACAGAATTGCAAGCTTCCTTTTGGTCTAGGATTCCTCTTCTGGTTCTTCCTTTACAGGATTCAGACTAGGCTAGAGGCTAGAACTGGGATCTGCTCTTCTCCTGGGGTCTGAACCACACAGTTGCTGTTGGCTTCTGATACTCTTTTCCTATAAACTGCCAGGAGCCTTTCACAGTTCCCAACTCAATGCTACTCACCCTGGCCAGGTGGTGCAGTGGATAAAACAGGGGCCTGGAGTCTGGAAGTCATGAGCTGAAATCCAGCCTATCAGCTGTCCTAGTTGTATGACCTTGTGCAAGTCATTTAACCTCTGTTTGCCTCAGTTTCCTAACTCTAAAATGGGGATAATAACACCTACCTTCCCAAAGTTGTTGTGAGGATCAAATGAGATATTTGCAAAGTTCTTCGCACAGCACCTGGCACATAGGAGGTGTTTAATATATTCTTATTCCCTTCTGTACTATCCCATTCCCCTCCCAACCCTTCCTCAGTCCACCTGGGATTTGTGACCTACCTAGAACTGGAAAGCGGGCAACAAAATTGCCAGTTGTCACCTTTTCCCTCTCCCTGCATGCTACAAATCTGGGCTGGAAAAATAACTCACTGTGACTTTTCCTGGGGTTTTCCCATGAATTCAATCTGGTGCATTTTCTGGGTCTGTTTGGAGGAGAGTATTTTTTGGGGGGGGAGGGGGAGCTCACTCTACTGCTTCCTGCTACTCTGTCATCCTGGCTCCGCCTCCTGGGGACGCTCGGATTTATGCTAGTCTTCTTCCAGAATTTCTTTTCATTCAGAAATTTCATTTCTCCTCACCACGTGAATGAAAAGTGAGGCAAAATCGTTGTGAGAGAGTAAAGAAAGAAGAGCAAGAACAAGGAGGTAGAGAAGGTAAATGTGTGTGTTTCCTTTTCATTGTTAAATTGATTAGGAACAATAAAAAAAAAGCAATCTTCTAATGGAGAAAGAAGGGGGGAAATGAAAAGTGTACGGGTGCCAGGTAAGGTGTGGTGGCATCCCAGGAACAACTGCAAAGACACCCCTCAGGGTGACCAGGGCCCTGGGTCGTTGGGCGGCTTGGGGAAGAGCTGGACAATGTTAACGACCAGTAGGGCAGTGGACTCATTCATGCTTCAGGATGCGAGTTTTTACCTGTTTTGTGTGATTGACCCGTTTGCCAATACCTCGTCTTCTTGAAATGTTGTTTTTAAATATTTGAAGGAAATGCAAATTTTCAGTTACAGGTTAGTGAAAATAAAGAGGTGATTTTTTCCCCTCTTCTCATCTAAGTTCACAGGCTGCCTGATATGTCTGCACCCCACTTTAAGAACCCCTGCTTTGGGGCCCACGATGGCCTTTTCTCACGCCTGTCATCTCTGTATTTGCTCATTTCCTGCACTGCATCTACTCTGGGCCAGATCCATTCATGACCCCCTACACATCCCAGCTCTTCCTTCTATCTACCCCGATTATTTTTAGTCTGTTCTCTCTTCTGCCCTCCGAGAAGTTGCAGACACATTACAGTGACCGACGGTCACAAACACCAGCTTTCCCAACCTTTTTGGCCCACAAAGCGTTTTGTCTTTATTTATCACCAATACCTCTTCCTGTCCTAATCTAGAGGAAAGTGGGTCTCAAAATTAACCGAACGGGGAAAAAAAGCGACAAGGGGGAAGGGCCATTTGGAGCTGGAAAGTGCCTAGGACGGTACCTAGTTCATTGACATTTGAGGAAACTGAGGCTCGGGTAGGTAAGGAGAGCCTCACCCAGCGCTTAACACAGTGCCTGGCAAAGGGTAGGCGCTTAGTAGAAGTTTATTGATTGACTGACTCAGTAGAATGGAAGCGGGGAAAGAAAGAGGAGACAGTGACTAGGAAGCCTGATGCTGGGGATGTGGGGAGGGGGCGGGGACACACCCACGTGGGCAGAGCTGCCGCCGCCAGGGGCGGGGCCGACGCCACGGAACTACATTTCCCAGGCAGGAGCTAGGCAGGAGCTGGGCATGCGCCTCCTGCTCTCCCTGCGGTCGCTTTCTTCCTCCCCTTCCTCCTCCCCTTCCTCCTCCTCCTCCTGCAGCCGCTCGGCGCAGCGCCGGTCCCGCTCGCTTCCCAGCCTGCCCCGTGCAGCCCGGGCATGCCCAGTGCGGGAGGTGCGGGCCCCGGCCTGGGGAGCGGCGCCGGCTGGAAGGCGGCGGGCAGCGGCGGCGGCAGCCGGGGCCGGGAGAGCCGAGCGGGGCCGCGGGCAGGTCAGCTGCGGGGGTCAGGCTGGGGGGATGAGCCGGGCGTGCGCGGGGGCCCGCCGGGGCGGCGGAGGGCAGCGGGGCGGGCTGGGGTTCGGGCTGGGGCTCGGGCTGGGGCTCAGGCTCAGTGAGGGGCCCGGCTTGCACGCCCTGGGCTGCTGCTGGCCGCTCGCGCGCGTGCGTGTGTAGAGTGTGTGTGGGTGCGTGTGGTGTGTGTGCCCTTTGAGTGGATGCGCGGGTGGGGGGCACAAGCGGGCCCCTGTTGACTTGTTGAAGTGCACTTGGAGGGCACAGCCCGCCCGCCTGTGGGCATCCCTGAGGAGAAGGGGAGGCCTGGGGCAGGGGAGTTGGACAGAGGGAAGCTCTTGCGTTCGGTAGCCGGGAACCCCCAAGGAAGGACCCACCCCATGGAGCATCAGGGGATGGCCGCCCAGTGGCCACCGACCTGGCGGCCCCCTCCCAGGGCTTTAAGCGAAGGTTTCTTTTCTTGGCCAGGCTGTAGAGGTCGTTTAAAAAAGGGGGGGGGCGTTATGTGTGATCGTTCACTTCGGAGGTGTAGTGGGAAGAGCACTGAACCCAGAGAAGGGCCCAAGTCTTGACTGGTAGTAACTAGTTGAATGACCTTGAACTAGTCATTTAACTTCTCAGGGCTTTCCTTTTCTCTTATATAAAAGGAAGTACTCCATTGAGTTCTCTGGTGATTTTCAAGAAGTTAGGTTTAAACCTGGGTGAATAAATTGCTTTTCCTGAGTCATCTAACGATTGTTAGAAACAAGGTTCAAGTCCATGTTTCCTGATTCCGGATCTAGTGCTCTCAGTGCATTCATTATCTTAGTGAAAAGTGTCCCAATCTTAATGCTACCCTGTGGGAGTGAGAGACTGGGCATTGGTGTTGGGGGGATAATTATATGAGGAGGAATAGTAGCCAAAACATTAGACACTGAAAATGGGCTAACCAGGAAAGAGGAGGGTATGAGATTGTAGTGGTATGATTTTGCCATTATGACTGGAACACTTATTGAAAAATCTGTAGTGAGCAGAATTAGTGTTGCTAGATCTATGGTTTTCTTAAATTTCTTTTCTTATAAGAAAATATATATGTGTGTGTGTGTATACATATACATATATATTAATATGAGCAGGCGTGTGCTTGGTTGTGCAAGTTTTCCTCCTCAAGCTTTGTTCCCTGCTATTCCAGTTCCGAGTGGCGTATATCCAGCTGTGTCAAACTCACTTGCAGTTTTTGAGATGATTAAAGGTTACCAAGCGCAGATATACTCCTATTCTTGAGCTGTGAAATGCGAGGTGTTTCCTTCCATAATAAGCCACACAAGAAAATCAGTCATGTGTTTTATATTAAGGATTTTTGGTTGGCAAGGAATTTGGGAGTTGAATGTGAAGGATATTTTTAGCTATGTAGTCTGACTTTCCTACTCTTTGGTAGGTGTCTTTTTTCCCACCTCCAAATTTAAATTAATATGTATTTATATTCTTCACATCAGAACTTTGTTAATCCTTTGCAGAAAATTACGTCTGATCTAGCATGCTTATTAAATTTGGACATACTCAACACATGTCAAAGGGAAAATTCAAATGTAGAAGGTCCTAAAGGGCAGGTGACATCATTTGTATGACCAGCTTCATGTGTGCCTACTACTGTGTGGTTTGTTGGAGAGGTATATTTGTGGCAGGAGTATGGTTAATTGGTAGTTTCATGAGAACATAGCTCAGATTACACATGAGCTCAAATGCTGAAGTAACAACCTTACATGTAATGAGGTCATACAAAAGAAGGTTGGAATAGATTCCCCCCCCCTTTTGAACAATATATTATTTTGCTACTCCAGTATTATTGATACATGACTGTACTTCCCCAAGTTCTCAAGGCAATAGTAATGATTTTAATTTCTCTGATTTATTATTCATCAATAATACTACTAACTGGTTAATCCTTCACGGATGAAGAGGAAAGAAAGAAGCAGCTGTTTCTCCCAGGTCATAGATAGGTAAACCAAGGCCCAGAGAGGGAAGGCGAGTAACCTATCTTTCCCTTTCCCATATTCATTGTTTCATCTACTAGAATTTTTTTCCAAGTGAAAATTTAAGTGATTGCAGGGTGACCTAGTACTTAATAAGGGGAGAAAAGAGAGATCCATGTTCCATTAAGATTTTGGCTGTTAGCAGCTAGACACACAGCTCACGTCATCATCTTACCTCAGTAGAACCAGGAGAGGCAAACAAAGCCTTCTTAGGCAAGAAAGCTGTTAGTCCCCGTTTGCATAGGTGAATGTTTTCCAGTATGAATTGAAATTCAGCCTTGTCTGGACTTTTAAATATACTATCTGATAATAGTTTTTCATGTGTTGGTTGAATTTATCATTTCATGGACATTTTTTAAAAATCCTGCCAATTTGCTCTGTTTATCAAATGTTAACTGAGTGCCTACTTTATGTACCTTTACATATGGCAGGACTCCATTGGAATTATGGTAGGTATCAGGCTTGTTTGTGTAGGAAGACCCTTGCTTGGGATGGCAGTCAGGGGAATGCTTGTGAGTGCTCTGTGACTTAAACTGTCTGGGTTTTGATTTTATTCATACGTAAAATAGGGTCAAATGATGCCTTTTTCCTGTCTGACATATAAAAATAAACTTTAAAAAATTGAAACAAATGCTTTGAGCTCTTTGGAAAGTGCTTTATAAATTCAGGGTAGTAACATAAGGAAGATCTGTGTGTCTTTGGGGTCTATAGGTTAGATTGGTGGTGGCTCAGTGGATAGAGTGTCTGATCTGGAGTCAGGAGAACCTGAGTTCAAATACGACCTCAGACATTTACTAGCTGTGTAATCCTGGGCATTTAGCCCTGTTTGCCTCAGTTTCCTCATCTGTAAATTGAGCTGGAGAAGGAAATGTTAAACCACTCCAGTGTCCTTGCCAAGAAAACCCCAGGTGGGGTCATAGAGAGTTGGACATGACTGAAACGACTCAACAACCATGACAAGCAAGGTTAGATGAATTGAGAAATCTTAACAGTTGATTTTATAGAGACAGCTTGAAAGTTGACTTGTGGCCTAGAGCATATCAAAATCTATTTCTCTTCTCTTTAGGGTTTATGTTGATACCTCTCTCCACCCCTCAGCTAGGCATTTAGCTTTGTATTTGATAATATAGTATTTTTTCTTTCTCCATTAGGCTCTGTTTTTTCAGGCTCTTCACGATGAGAGATTTTGGGATCCTTCTCTTCCCTTCTCCCTGTAGTTGATAGTTTGGGTGGTGGAAGTGATGCAGAAGTAGAGATGGCTGACAGTGTCAAAACATTTCTCCATGATCTTGTCAGGGTAAGTAAAGTTATGCCTCAGAAAGGAACTCATGTTTCCTGTTTTTTGTTTTTTGCTGAGGGAGTTGACTTTAAAAGTCTTCAAACCTTGCATGTGTTGGTTGATTTTTTTTTTTTTAGAATCAGAATATTAGAGCTATAAGATTACTCAGAACTCAACTATTCCAACCCCTTTTCTTAGACATGAGACATTGGGGTCTAGAGAGATGAAGTATCTTTCTTGGTCACACAGCTAATTAGAATGTGACTGGAACCCAGGCCTCCTCATTCCCAGTTCTTTTGATTCTATCACACTGCCTCCACATTACTGCTTAGTCCATTTAGTGGCCTAGATGAGAGGAGCAAAGCTTACAGAGCTTGTGATAATTCACTGAACTAGGATCCCTTTAACTTCCTTGTGCCAGAAACTTTTTAGGTAAGGTTAGCAAATGTCCCCATCAGGCCAAGAACAGGAAAGTCAGGAGAAAATTTGGCCAACTATCTTTATGCCATTTCCCACTCAGAACCACCCTTCTACTGTGGAGCTGGTTCCGTTGAGAGGGCCAAAAGGAGAGAAAATGTTGAAAATTAACTTAAGCAAATATCTGGCTGTGAATTGGCTCTCATCGATATAGATTTCCTTCTGTGTTAGCTTTAAGTTTATTTTTCTCTTATGGACTGGCATTTCAGCAAAGTGAGTAGAATTGCATCCAATTTTCTTCTTATTAGTTGATCTCTGCTTTTATTTGCCCTTCTTGTTGTACTAGCTTGCTCTTTGCTTTAAAAATAAAAGATGGTAACCCTTTTGCTTATAGGGAATCAAGGACTCCATCTGGGGCATCTGCACCATCTCCAAATTGGATGCCCGGATCCAACAGAAAAGGGAAGAGCAGCGTCGAAGAAGGGCAAGCAGTGTTTTAGCACAGAGAAGAGCCCAAAGTGAGGAGCGGAAGCAGGAGAGGTGAGGAGAGCAGATCATCATAGTGAGATTAGTTTTTAGAATTCACTTGATAGCTCCTAGTAGGAATATGATGAAAATATTTGAGGAGGATGACTGAGAACCCCATCGATGATTCCCCATCTTTTTGGAGTTGAAATACCTTATTGTTGAGAGTCTTTTATCATTTATTTTTCTGTTTCCCTAACACAGTGCAGTGTGCCATTTAACTTTTAAGATACAATGAATTAAATTTAACTTTGATTGGAATGTTTTTGATACTTCTGCAGTACTCCTTGAGGAAGATTTGTAATTACTGCTTTACATACATAAAATATTAGGAAACAGATTAGCCAGTATTTTTATTGGGAAAAACCAAATGAGTTAATGGATGAAACACCAAATTTGAGAAACCTTTGTTTTAATTTCACCATTCATTGATTGTCTGAAAAAAATCTTTGTGAATATAGTTGAAGTTTTATATACTCTTCAGAAAATCACCACCTTGGAGAGAATATCAAATCCTCAAATTCAGTAAATTACCTATTGCATGTAGGACAGCATGCTAGGCACAGTGGTAGGGGTACAGTGTTTGAGTAAGACATGATTCCTGTCATAAGTATGTGAAAGTTGTAAATAATAAAATAAGAACACCATAACCAAGGTTTAGAGAGTTAAAAGTAACTTGATTGTTGTCACATAGCTAAAAAACATCAGTGGAGATTTGAACCCAGAGAGGTTGGAAAGAGGTGTTGAAAAATGACAGTCTGGAACTTGGAGAGGAGAGAGTTTAAGGGTAGAACTATAAATTTGGGAGTATACAAGAGATATAGTTCAGGTTGTGTGGGAAGGTGAGAAATGGAGGAGAATCAGCATCAGATGATCCAGAGAGGTCAGACTGAAAATGGCCTTGGATTTGACAATTAGTAGATCTTTGGCTGTCTTTGAAAAGTTTCGGTGAAGTAGTGGGGATGAAAACCATAGTGTAGGAAGTTAATGAAAAAGTAGATGCTGAGAAAGAGAAAGAAATATATGGATTACATTTTCAGAGGTTCCCTATGAAGGGAAGAAGAGAGAGGACAGTTGCTAGATGTGATAGAAGGGTCAGAGTATCCTTTTTTTAGAATTAGTTAAGTCCTGAGCAAGATTTTATTTATTTTTAAACTTTTATCGATGACTTTGATTTTCATATCATAGTTATTTCTGGCTATACCCGCTCTATTGATTCCCTGTGCTGAAACGGCTTTGTAACAAAAAAAAGGAGTTGAGCAAGAATAACTGTTGTAGTGATTGGTCTGATAGTAAGAGCAGTGCTTCGCTCCTTATAAATTCTGTCCTCTAACAAGAGGAGGGAGAGTCTGTTTCATGATCTGTTATCTGGGACGAAAACTGATCATTACTTCCTTTTAGCGTTCTCATGTATGTTACTGTAGTTAGTTATTGTGTAGTGGACTGATTCTGCTTGCTTTGCTCTTCATGAGTTTGCATGTCTTTCTGTGTTTATCTGAATTCCCCTTTGATCACTTATTATTACGTAATACGCTTCTATTCATTTACCACAGTTTGTTTGGCCCTTTTCCCAAGCAGTGAGCAGCCATTTCATGAGCATGTATTAAGATAGATGGGAAGGAGCTAATGAAGATGGAGAAAGTCATCTATACATGAAAGAGGGTAATTGCTGGAACAAGGTCCTAGAGGATCTAGGAGGGTGTAGGATACGAATAGAAGATTGAGCCTTACCAATGAGTTGAGATATTTGTTCCTTTGAGATAGAAGGGAAAGAAAATGTATTCTACAAGAGGATAAGGGATGATATATGTAAGTTTGTTGGAGTAGAGGAGGACATTTAAGGGAACTTCAGTCTTATGAAAACAGCATGGTATAGTGGTTAGAATGTTAGATTTAGAACCAAGAAGACCTAGGTTCAGATCTCACCTATAACCTTTGTTAACTATATGTTCTTGGGAAGGTCACTTGACCTGAGTTTTGGTTTCCTGTCTGTGCAATGAAGGGGTTGGAATTAATGGCTTCTGATGTCTGTCTCTAGATCTGTGATCCTAATTATATAGTACACTAAGTCATATGTTACAAAGGATAGGGATGGGTAAAGGGATAGTATTTGGGGGAGTCAACACATAAGAAAAAGTTTGGATTAACTGATAAAGATGAAGTAGAGAGCTGATAGAGTAGTTGAATAGTATTGCTAAAAGTAGCAGTGAAGGTCAAGCTGAGGTGATATACCTTAAGTGTACAGTGAATGAATGATTTTATTAAGGGCTTAAAATGTGCCAAGCACTGTGCTAAACTTTGGGACTACAGATACAAAAGTAAAGACCTCCTTTCCCCTTAAGGAACTTGTATTCTTGTGAAGAAAGCAACACAGATAATGATGGCCTAGGATGGGTACTTTGGTTTTGAAAGTTACTGGGATGGTAAATGGGGCAGTTGATTGATATGCCCCATCCAAGCAGAGCTGATTTTGATTATTGTTCAGAGTTCCAGAACTGGTGCAAGAAAGGAAAGGGCATACAGGTTCACAGTGGGGCATGCATGGAGTCTGGTGGAGGAGGTCAGAGAAGAGGACATGAACTGAAGCCTGCTGGTGGGGCTTTCCTGAAATTGTTCCAGGAGAGACAGTTACCACTTTGGGGTCATAGGTGGAGCAGGGGTGGTTTGGACAGGGCAGGGTAGAAGTTCCTCAGGGCATGGTCTGTGGTGTCTACAACAAGGCAGTTTGTGAAGAAGGCTATGGAGGAGATGGCTGGAGAGGGAGTGGATGAAACCAGTTTAATTCCAGTGTTACTACAGCCAGATACCTCAGGGATAAGGTAGAGCGATTGACCTGGAAGGAAGAACTGAGTTCAGATCTAGCCTCAGACATTTACTAGCTGTGTGTCCCTGATGCCAGTGACCCTGGGTAAGTCGCTTAATTTTTGTCTGCATCAGTTTTCTCAACTATAAAAATGAGCGTAATAATAGGCATCTACCTTACAAGGCTGTTATGAAGATCAGAAGAGATACTTGTAAAGTGTTTAATAAAGCTCCTGGCACAGTGGGTGCTTAATTAAATGCCTGTTCCTTTCCTTCCCACTTAAGCAGTCTAGCAGCTGGAAGAAGGGAACTGGATGATAGGAGTTAACTGGGATTGAGATTAAGTGGATCAGAAGTTCCAAATGTCCAAGACTAAGAGATTCTAGGATAGTGACTGCTGAATCATTAAAGTGGCAGATCATTTTTACTTTTAAAGTTTTCACAGCTATTCAGTAAATGGCTTCCTCAGTGTGATGCTCTGTCCTTAGTAAACTTGTAATCAAAATACTATTTTTATATCATATAAATTTCCTCCTGCATCCCTTCCTCCCCCAAACCCCAGTCATTCCAAATAAATGTATTTTTTAAAAAATAAAACAGAGGAAGAAGAGGGGGAAAAAATCTGTGAAAACAGTAACTTCATTGAAAAAAATCTGAAAATATATACAATGTTTGACATCCATGGACCTCCAACCGCTGCAAAGGAGTTGGGAAGAAGTGTCTTCTCATATCTTTTCTTTGGAGCCATGCTTGTTTGTGATTCTGCTGCATCCATTCTTAATTGTCTTGTGTTGATGGCCCTTTGCATTGTTGTAATCATTGTGTATGTTGTTTTCTTGGCTTTGCTTACTTCACTGTGCATCAGTTCATGTAAGTTGTCCCATGCTTCTCTGTATATTCTTCATCATTTCTTATAGCATAGTAATAGTGTAATACATTCAGAAAGTACTATTTGACTATTCTCCAGTCAAGTACTTTTGAAACAGTGTTGCTATAAATCTTTTGATTTATATGGGGACTTGATTCTTATCAGTAGTCTCTGATGGAGTCTGAGAGGTTTAGACCCCTCAAGGACCAGAGTATAAGGAGGGGTCATCTGGAATGAATTCACAGACTCAAGCATTTGTTAAGTCAAGGTGGCAAAGATTTATTGTTGTTATGCTATATGGCGGGCAGAGGTCCTTAAGGAATACTGCCGTGGTGTGTAGAGCTCGTTAGGGAACTTGCAGCTTAACAGAAATGATCTTGAAGCTTATATAGGAAAAGTAGTGAACTATGTGCCAAGTATGCTGATTAGGTGATAACATACAACCTTGGTCACGAGCATCATTCACTACAGGAAATTGTGGGGAGGGGAAGAGAGGGCTCCTAAGGGGTATATTTGTGGTCTGTTATATCTATAATAAGATAGTTTCAGGAATTGATGTCTATAGCCTGACCTCTGGATTGCATATGTGACTGTGGGCATCAGTACTTGATGGTTCTGTTGATAGAAGATAGCACAAGGGAAATTCTACAGAGATCAGCTTGTTTTTGTAACAGGGAGAGATAGTTTGCTTCACTGGGCCCACTCATAAGTTATTGCCAGAGATAGGGTCCTTGGGATGGAGGTCAAACTGTCAGGGATAGTGCCATGAGGCTATGGAGAAATATGATCTTAGAAGTGGGGTCTGAGTACAAGCACCCAAGCACCATATCAGTGTCCTTGTTGGTATATGCCTAGTGGTAGAATCTCTGGGTTAAAAGAGTATGGACATTTTGGTCATGTTATTTATATGTTGTCCAAGTTGCTTTTCAAATGGCTGTGCCAATTCACAGCTCCACCAAAAATGTGCTAGTATATCTATCTTTCTACCACTCTCCAATGTTAAACTATTCTCATCTTTTGTCATCTTTGCCAATTTGCTGGTTTTGAGCTATTTGGTTTTTAAAAATATTTTAAAAGCTCAATATGATCAAAATACAAGAGAAAAACAGAGATCTGCTTAGTAATAAGGAGCAGCCTGCTTGCTTCACAGACTGTGTGTGGGATCTTTTTTAGTGAGCCAAGGATAGTGAGCAGAATTTTCCAGTGCTGTGCTTGGAATGGAGGAGTATTCTGGGTGAGTAAGCTTTCGCCACACTTTCCCTTGACCAGAACCCAAACCAAGTATTCCAAATGTCTTGCTTGTTGCTTCTTTGACCTTATTGTATCTTTAGGGGGTGGAAATACTCTTTCAGTCTTTGAGTATTGGTTTTTTCATAAGGGATATGCATGCTGTTGAATATGTCTATCTGTTGGGTTGTTGAGGGAAAAGGTTCTCACTGCTTCTGACCATCAAAACCTCTAGCAGAACAAGTACCTCACAGTCAACTGAAAATTGATGAACACAGGACTATTAATTTAATTTGGACTTCTTAATGGTAGATAATGTTGGAATTTCTCCTTTGAGTTCCTTTTATAGTGGATTGGGAATCAGTGCATAATAGATGACAGTCTGCTCACTTAGATATCTTGTCCTTTGAGGAACTACACAAACATTCTTCTGTTCACGCTAGATCCTGATTTCAGGGTTCAGTTCACAGCATGCATTTTTATTTGTGGATCTGGCTCTCCCAGCCTACTAACAAGATGCTCTTCAGCCATACCATTAAGCTGAACAACTAAATTTCTGTATTTCAAAATTTGCTTCTCACTAGTTTATAGTGAAGTGGATAAGTACATAATATTGGACTGGCTTTTTCCATCAGCCATATTCATTTGGAACCATGGGCGGCAGAAATGAGCTGAGAAAACCCCAAGTAAAGATGGCTAATTGTAGAGGCTCATCTTGATAAAATGGAAAAAGAAGAGTTTGTATAGTTGGAAGTTCTCAACAGTTTTTTTTTTCAGAGAGAGGACTATTGATTAGAACATTTGAACCTGTGTTTTTAATGGAAATCTTTTTCATATTTATCATATTGACTTTCTTCTATAGCTGAGTCTTCTCTTGTTTTACCGAGTATTTATCCCTGTGCTTCAGTCAGTAACAGCTCAAATTATTGGTAAGTATATGAATTGTTCTCTGTTGCCTTTTTCTGTATACACTTTTTCTTTCCTCATTTGGGACTAGGGTGAGGAGGGAGGTCATGAGTTTTACAAGTCTCATACCAACATCCAAAGAGGCCACATCCTATTTCCAAGTAAGCACTGCTTTGCTAGGGGAGCTCCTAATCCCTTCTGCTTTGATTGAAAATCAAAAAAATTAAAGTAAGATTGTGGCAGCTAAGATCAACTGACCCTCAGTGGTTTTTGAGCCAGAGATAGGAAGAGAGGCAAGGTAGAAAAGCATGAAAAGCAGGAGAGCCTAATGGGTTGTCTGGGGTCTGTTTTCTTATAGTAACTTTTTCCTTTATCTCTTAGGAGATCCCTCTCTGCATGGAGATGTCTGGTCCTGGCTGGAGTTTATCCTCACCTCTATCTTTAGTGCTCTGTGGGTGCTCCCTCTGTTTGTGCTCAGTAAAGTGGTGAATGCCATATGGTTTCAGGTAAGTCTAGGTTAGAAATAAGTCTCTTGGCCCTGAAACATGGTAACTTGGTAGCCTACAAAGCAGCCTGCAAATAAGAACTATTGGTAGCAATCATTTCCTTAGGTGTACTTCTGCATGATAGCTAGGAATTTTGTGTTCATAGGCAAGGAAGTTTTTAATGTTCCTTTTAAATGGAATCACTGGATATTTTAGAAGTGAGTAGAGCAACTCGTTGCTGAGTACCGTCCTGAATCAGAAGAGAGATTTCCCAAGGATTCCTATCCAGGATAACAATTCTGGTATAGCCAGTGGACTTGTGGCTTTAGAACAGGCCTGTAAAATTTTTGGCCCTCGGACCCACAGGCTCTCCAACTGCTTGCAGCCTGCCAAAGGATTTTAGGCAGCCCATGAAAAATGTAAAGGTCAGGTCATCCTCAGGCCCCAAGACTGTTCTCAGACAGAGCTAATAGGGCTCACTGGACCTTTAAGAAGAAGTGATTAAGAGGCCTAATACCCTTGGGCCTGTACAACATACTGCCCCGCTTTGGGCCATAAGCAACCCTCAGGTCATATGTTGTGCTGGCCTGCTTTAGAACAGAGGTTTTTAACCTTTTTTGGGTGACAAGGATCCCTTTGTCAAATTGATGAAGCCGGTAGATCCTTTCTCAAAATAATGTATTTAAGTGAATAAAATAAAAACCATGAGATTAAAAAGGAAACCAATTATATTGAAATACAGTTAATCAAAATATTTATTAAAAAGCTAAGTTCTCAGATTCCAGATTAAGAACACCTGTATTAAGATTTATGGCCTAGATCTTTTCTGTTCTGGTGAGCTGCCTACTGTGTTACAGGATATTGCTGATCTGGCATTCGAGGTATCTGGGAGGAAACCTCAGCCTTTCCCAAGTGTCAGCAAGATCATCGCCGACATGCTTTTTAATCTCTTACTACAGGCCCTTTTCCTGATCCAGGTGAGACTAGCCTTCTAATGACAAACAGGATGGGGTGGCAAAGTGGAGTGGGTCTTCTGTTAGTGCTGCCAGATGCATTAGGTGGGGTGGGGTATATTATATTCCCGTGGAAGCGTGGTTCAGTAATAAAATGAGAGAGGCTCTCTCTTTACAGATGAAATAATTGGGGAAATGGATGAAGATGGCATTCTTGCCATTGGATCTTGAAAAGAACTCAAGTTGGTTGTGATTCCTCTGCAGGGCATGTTTGTCAGTCTATTCCCGATCCATCTCATTGGCCAGTTGGTCAGTCTCCTGCACATGTCTCTTCTCTACTCACTTTATTGTTTTGAGTACCGTTGGTTCAACAAAGGTGAGTGAAGAGATCATATCTTAAGTAGGTTCTTTTTAAAGAAGTTAACAAGTCTTTCCTTTTTACTCTGCAAGATAGGGTTTCTAAACATTGTCAGAAAGGTGGGCTGGCTCCTTCCTCCAGGTCTTAGAACTTGGGCTGAGTCATGGATTATAGAGGATTTATGAGCCTTCCCAATGATTAGAGCTGACCTTACAGCTGTCTTTAATTTGGTGATATAATGAGGTTCTATGGCCTTGCATGAACAATGTCAACAAAACTTTATTAAGTTTTTCGATAACTTAATTTTTTTGTATGAAAAACACTGCTAGGAGCTAGAGATAGGCAAAATTTAGATAAGGTGTGGTTAGTACCTTTATGGAACTTAAAGTGTAATAAGGAGAAAAGATAGAAGTTAATTAGCATGGTATAGTACAGTCATGAAGCCATGCTGACCAGGTCCGCTACAAATTTATTATCTAAACTAGGGGCAGCTGATGGTACAGTGGGTGGAGGGCCTGGTTCTGGAGTCAGGAAGACCTGAGTTCAAATCTAGCCTGAGACTCTTCTTAGCTGTGTGATGCTGGGCAAGTCACTTAACTTCTGTTTGCCTCAGTTTTTTTTTATCTGTAAAATGGGGATTAATAGCATGTACTTCCCAGGTTTATTGTAAGGATCAAAAGAGATAATATTTGTAAAGTGCTTATCACAGTACCTGGTACATGATTAAGTGCTATGTAAATGTTGGTGGTGATGACAATAATAATAATAATAATAATTTATTATTATTATTATTGTTATTATTATTATTGTTATTATTATTATTATTCTCCTCATCCAGGTCTTCTTTGCAGCAAGGAAATCCTTTAAACAGTTTTCTGTGTCACTTGCCACAGTGGCTTTTCCAAGCCTCTTTTCCCCTGCAGCTTTCCACAGTACCCTACCCTCTCATCTCACCTTGCCTCATACTTAACCAGTTAAAAAAAATTGAGGCTATTTGATGAGAGTGTTCTCTTCTGGTTCATCTCCCACTATCTCCTATATCACACCAATCTCTGATGAATAAGTTGCCCTTTTTTGAAGGCCAACCTCTGTACATGTATTCTGGATCACATTTCCGGCAGGTTGTCCTCACTGTCATCTTCTTCCCTACCCCTTATCTTCAGTATTTAACTTCTAATCTATGAGCTCCTTTCCCACTTCCTACTAACATGCTAGCTGTTGTCTAAGTCTCCTCCCTTTCTCAACTAAACTCATTGAAGAGACCATGTACGTTAGGTGCCTCTACTTTTGTCCTCTCAATTTCTTAACCTTTTGCAGTCTGACTTCTGAACTCATTATTTATCTGAAACTGCTCTCCTAAGTGACTGTGATCTTTCTTTTTGTTTTGCTCAAAAAAAAAAAACTTCACTGTGAAATCTGGCACAGTGCAGTTTGTTGTAATTGTTATATCTGTGTTCACTATATAAGCAGCTAACATATGGAAATTTAATTATCTGTATACAAATGATGCATCAAAAGTGCTCAGTGCCACACATCAAGTTCCTTGAAGTCCACCCAATTTGCCATTCATGTATGTATGGTACACATTTTCCAGAATCTAGTACTAGTTAGTGGTCTGTACTAGATTCACAGCACATTCCGTATCTTTCTGTGGGAAGCCAGTAGTATTTGACTGGCTTCTTATAGCACAGTCCAAGAAACTTGTTCAGCATCATTGCCCTGCCCTGTTTCAGCCTTGGTTTGGCCCTCCAGTTAGCATGTCAGCCCATCCACCTCAAAGTTCGGTTCAACTCCAGTGATCTCTTAATTGTTGAGTCTAATGGCCTTTTTCTTGGGCCACATTTTTTTTAACCTCTTCGGAGGATTTGTCACCATTAACTACCATCTACCCCTGGATACTCTGTCCTCCTGTGTTTTTGTGACCCTGTTCTTTCTAAGAACCTTTCTATTCGTTCTTCTACCTCTCTATTGTTGGATTGTAGGCTTCTTGAGAACAGGAAATGTTTTGCCTTTGTGTCCCCAGTGCTTAGGACACTATCTAACACCTATTAAGTGCTTAATAAATGCTCTTGACTTGACATGTCTGATCCTCTTCATTCTTTTTTCTGGTACTTCATCTTTATCACACATACCCCTACTTGTGGAACCTTCCAAGGATCTGCCTTGGGCCACCTTTTCCCTCTATACTGTCTCACTTGCTGATGTTATCAACTACCATGAATTCAGTTATCATCTCTATTCCACATCTATATGTCTAGCTCTTGTCTTCTTTCTGAGTTCTAATCCTAACTACCTTTTGGAGGTAGGAGAAAGGAAAAGATAATAAATTCACTTTTGGAAATGTCATGTTTGATGTGCCAGTGGTACAGGCATTTAGAGATGTCCTCTAGGCAATTAGAAATGTAGTGCTGGAGCATAAAAGAGAAAGTAGGGATAGAGAAAGCAATTTGTGTATAGATGTAATAGTTCTAGCCCTAAGAGTAAATGAAGTTGTCAGGAGAGAATGAGTAATTAGAAAAGAATAGTAAACAGAAATTTAGGGAACACCCACAAGGAATCTGAGGAGATGAAGCCAATAAAGCAGAGTAGATAAATACTCAAGAAATCCTGGTCTGAGAGAATCAAAATGACTTCTGTTCTTTCATATGGCTCTTTCTAGAGATTATATTTTTTTAGGACACACTTTTAACTGTATTTAATCTATGTAGGCACATTCTCTCTAATAGTCATTTTTCAGTAGAAATTTGTTATGGCAAATAACATTATAATGAAAATCTTAAATTACTAAGCCCATGCTGGTACCATTTGCTTCTTTAAACAAATAGACCATGCAACAAACGAAGCTTGATTATGGCTTGTGATCTTATCTGTCATGAGATTTCTCTTAGGATAGTTGTAATGGAGCAATCCCTTTGTTAAAGTCAACTGAATTTCTTAAGTATTTTGTGTACTTAGAGATGACAGAAATGGTTCAAGAATGGTCTCTAAGATTATTTGTCTTAGTCTCAATATTATATTTTAAACTTCTCTTTCATCAGGAATTGAAATGCATCAGCGATTATCCAACATTGAAAGGAATTGGCCTTACTACTTTGGATTTGGTCTACCCTTGGCCTTCCTCACAGCAATGCAGTCTTCTTACATCATCAGGTAATCTGAATTAAAGAATTTGGGGTAGGTAGTGAGGATAAAAGCTGAGGTTTGCCCCTGAACATATCCAGTAGAATCATTTGAGATTTGTGTCTCTTCTCCCAGAAAGTATCTGGCTAACCTGTCCCATAATATATATATATATATATATATATATATTCATTAGATTCTTAAGATGTGAGAATGATGCCCTTTTGGGTTTGGCTTCTTACATCTCCCCACTTAGACACTGGGTTTTCTATGAAGCCATCTTACTTTCTTTCATTTTTTTGCAGTGGCTGTCTCTTCTCTATCCTCTTCCCTCTGTTCATCATCAGCGCCAATGAAGCGAAGACCCCTGGGAAAGCGTAGTAAGTTCTTAGTCAGTCCCTGGTCACTAGGGTCAGACACCATATCTGAGGTATTAACTGTAAGAGTAAGAATTGGCAATCATAAACAATTTGGCTTAGTTTTTGGTGGGTTTTTTTTTTTACTTCTCCTGTGTTGGGAGGTCAAATGATGCTCTCCCAAGGAGAAATCCTGCTTACCTACTAGCTCTTTATAAATCAGAACACAGGCCTTTATATTCTCAGAACTTTGCAGTCTGTCAGTCAGCTGTTGAGAAAGCTTCTAGTGCAACTCCTGCCCCTGGGGATGCCACACTGAACATACCTATCAATAGATTAAAGGTTTAGACTCATGTGAGAAGAGCAGGAGCCAGTATGGTCCAGATATAGAGTCTAACATGGTTTTCTTGCTTTTCAGCCTCTTCCAGTTACGCCTCTTCTCCTTGGTGGTCTTCCTAAGCAACAGACTCTTTCACAAGACGGTCTACCTGCAGTCTGCCCTGAGCAGCTCAGCCTCTGCCGAAAAGCTCCCCTCACCTCATCCATCTCCTGCCAAACTGAAGGCTGCTGCAGCCCACTGAGCTGCCTCCAAGGGGAGGGATGGCTTTGGGGGGAGGCACTGGTGGTGGCTTCCTCAGTTTCCCCTAACCCAGGGAAAGCAGGACCCACCCTGCCAAGGGCCCTCAGCACATTCCCGTTGTTCTCTGTGGGATCTGGAGTTTTACTGTCTTGTAAGTGTAGGCCAGGATCTTTTTGATGCCAGGTGTGGATTTTTAATGCTGTCAGCGTGACCGCAGATTTTTCTGCAGCTGTTTTCTAGCCTTTGCCAGCCCTGTGCCTGTGCTGATTTGAACACTTTGCTTTTCTCCCCGTGCCATCCCTCCCCTTTGCTCTGCCACCCTTGGATGAATGGATTTTGTAAATCCAGTTTGTTTGTTTTTCTGTGTGTGTGTGTGTGTGTGTGTGTTGTGTGTGTGTGTGTGTGTGTGTGTGTGTGTGTGTGTTTGTTTTTTGGTGAAACCTGCTCATTGGGTGTGGAGGGAGGGGGAGTCTCCCAGCTAGTCCTGGTTACTTCCTTCTGCGGCCTTCACTGTCTTTGGTTCTTGTGACTCAGGTTAGGTTTTCATCCCTTCTACTTCACAGCAAAAAAAAAAAAAGAAGGAAAAAAACCTGAAGAGGTAGGACTAGGTAGGGAACAGACCTCACCACAGCACGTGTTGGTTTGGAGAGCTAATCTATCTCCATCCCTTTGTTTGTAGGAGGGGAGGATGTAGGAGAATTCTCTCACTGATGCTGTTAGGGTTCCCTAATCTCGAGGAGATGTACCAGCTCTCAACAAGTGCCACTATTAGCACAGGATACCCTGAAAAGTCAAGCTCTTGCTAAGCACTGGATACAGCTCCGTTAGTCAAAGGGCCGGAGGTCTGAAATTCACTTTGTCAGGGCCACTGCCAGTTATATCCTGCACTTCAAAGGGATGTTGGGTTCTTCACGTGATCAGAAACTACAGTTAGAAAACTTAATGGAAAACATTAAACCTGTGGCTGGATGGGTTTTTCTGTCATTTTTACAGTAAAGTTGGGGGTCCAGCACATGTCAAAAAATTGTACAATATAAAAGAAGAAAAAAATTAAACAAGTAGAAGCTTCTGGTTTCTCATGGAAACAGGCATGCTGATTGGTGAAAATCATGAAGTTTATAATGGTATTTAAGGAATACAAGGTCTTGTTTGGGTTCAGAAAAAGGGAATTTAGAGTAAATGGGAAGTTTATTGCACTATGCATAATTGATGGGGAGATGGTTCTGCAAAGTGTTGATCTGAAACTCAGGTCTCATCTCTTTCATGTAGTTTATAGAGGGGGATTGGCTTATGTCCACTCATTTAGTGGTTGGTTCTCAAAAACTGATGAGTTTGGAATTGGTGAATTCACTTTTGTGTGTGTAAAGTGTCTTTATGTATGTACATTTCTGCTGTATATGTTTCATAAAGGGAGAAAGATCAATTTAGATTCCAGTGTTCCTCATGCATTAAAAATTCCCATAAGGCAAGGAAAAAAGATAAGCAGCTTACTCAAAACATTCAGAAAGCCTTTGAGGAGGGTGGTCTGTAACATAACTACTCTTGGTCAGCAGATGAACCTCTTCTCTGGTGTTTTCACAAGAAAATGTTAAATAAAATACTAGAATTGTCCACAGTTGTGGGTGGGTGATTGTGAGTTTGTCTCACTGGGGAAAGCACCAAGTTGGAAATTATGTACAATGAGAATTTGTACACAAGAATTACTTGTAAAGCATATGGTTAAAGACGTCTTGGGCTATTTCAATACCTCTGGTATGTTCCAATAAGATCATTTGTGGTTTTGACAACATTTTAAGGCAGCATTACAAAGAACCACTTATAGAACTTTCCTTGTTGCTATATGGTGGTTTGGGAGAGAGAGTTTAAGTTGTCAAGAATTTTGGTAATTTGAAAAGTCATAACATAAACTTTTGGAATTTTTTTTTGCAATAAAATGAACCCCTTTGGAAGCAGTTCTTCAAAGTGTGTTGTTGTCAACTTGCACTATTTGTTCAGTGACTTACTTTTGCCTTACTTAAACCTATGTGATTCCAGCTTCAGTGACCTATACTGATCTGTCACGTAGGTTTGGCTGCATTATGGGAACAGGACTATTGTCCCTGATTTTTTTCTACATAACCCATCAATACGCATTTATTCATGTAGTAAATATTTATTAAGCCCCTATTATGCTAGGCACTGGAAAAAAAGTTTATAAAAGATAGTCCTTTTCCTTATGAAGCTTGTGGTGTAGTAGGATGATAAACACCTAATTTAATACATGATCAATGTGGTATAGTGAATGGAATGCTGTGCTTAGGGTCAAAAAGACTTGGTCTGAATTCCAGTTCCAGTACTAGTTGTATAACCATAGACAAGCCTCTTGGCCTTATAACCTCAGTTTTCCCATCTGCAAAATGGGGATAATACCTTGATTCTGATAGACTAGAACATTGGGTCATATCAAGTAATATGAAATTTGATAGGGATGAATGTAGTCTTGTACTTAGGATTAAAAAAAAAATCAAGCTGCTCAGATATTTTTAGGGGGGTAGTATAGCTAGGGTGAGGTAGGGTATAGACCTAACAGTCTATGAAAGATGTTAGGATTTTAATGGATTGCAATCTGATGTGGCAGCCAGAAAGGCCAGTGTTAAACTGCAATGAGATTGACATGACCTCCAGAAATGTGGAGGTTTTTTGGTCAGACTATGTATGAAATATTATGTTTAGATATGTGTCCAGAGAAAGTTAAAAGGACTAGAGTTTTTTTTTTAATACCACAACATGGTTAATTATTAGACTTTACACAACAAATAAAAATACAGAAATACAGCTCAATGCAGAATGGTGACTTTCTCTTCAACGGGCCATGGTTCCTCTTTGTAGTAAAATGAAGACGGTAAACAAGTAGAAATGAGTTGGTAGTTAACTCCACGATTTTGTCTAGAAGTTATGCATTCATTTTTCCTCAGCTACTTAAGTACATACAGAAAAGGAATTAAAAGTTTTACTCACTTGTTCACCTCATATTGAAACATGCTTCATTCTATTTTGAGGGTCACTATATGGAAAATAAGGAGATGCCTTATCTTGAAGATTAGGGGATTTGGATGGGGTGAAGTATACTCTAGACATCCTCCAGTATTTGAAGGGATATCAGCTGGAATAGCAACGATATGTCTTGCCCGGACCCAGAGTGGAACTAGGAGTAAAGTGTGGAAGTTACAGTGAGGCAATTTTAGGCTTGATGTCAAGGAAAAACTCCCTAACCATCAGTGCTGTCTTTGTCTTTTTAAATTTAGATTTTTTTCCCCCTCAATGGCATGTAGAAACAATTTTTATCATTTGTTTTTTAAAATTTTGAGTTCCAAATTCCTTCCACCTTCCCTGAGATAGTAAGCAACTTGGTATAGATTATATATGTGAAGTTATGCAAAACATTTCCATATTAGCCATGTTGCCAAAGAAAACAGACCAAACTCGATAAAGTGGAAGTATGCGTCACTGCATTCAGACTCCATAACTTCTTTCTCTGGAGGTAGATAGCATTTTTCCATCATAAGTCCTTCAGAATTGTCTTGGATCATTGTAATGCTGAGAATAGCTAAGTAATTCACATATGATCATTGTATAATATTGCTGTTACTGTATATTCTGCATCTGGTTCTGCTCACTGTGCATCAGTTTGTGTAAGTTAGCCTACAATAGTGTCCCATTACAATCATATACTACTTCTTCAGCCCTTCCCAATTGATGGGCATCCCCTCAATTTCCAATTCTTTGCTACCACAAAAAGAGCTGCTATAAACATTTTTGTACATGTGGGTCCCTTTCCCTTTTTTGTGATCTCTGGGATACAGACCTAGTAGTGGTATTGCTGGATCAAAGAGTATACACAGTTTGATAGCCCTTTGTGCATAGTTCCAAATTGCTCTCCAGAATAGTTGAATCAGTTCACGACTCTACCAACAGTGCATTAGTGCCCCAATTTTCCCACATCCCCTCCAACATTTACCATTTTCCTTTCTGTCATATTAGCCAATCTGATGGTTATGAAGTGGTATCTCAGGTTTTTTTAATTTGTTTTTCTCAAATCAATAATGATTTAGAATATTTTTTCATGACTGTAGCTTTGATTTGTCTGAAAACTGCCTTTGCACATATCGTTTGACCATTTGTCATGACTTGTATTCTATTAGGTTTGACTCAGTTTCTCTACATATTTGAGAAATGAGGCCTTTATCAGAGAAACTTGGTGTAAAATTTTCCCCCGGCTTTGTTTTCCTTCTAATCCTGACTGCAATTGGTTTTGTTTGTGCAAACCCTTTTTAATTTAATGTAATCAGGGGGACAAGCAGCAGGAAGTGCAGGATGGTGGTGGCCCAGGAGGATGGGCACAAAAAAACCTGAATACCAGGATGGATAATCGTTTCACCACAATTGGCACAGATTTCTGGTATGAATATCAAAGTCCAGCACCAGAAAATTTCAGTGATTTAAACAAAATCAGGTATGAATTTTTTGACTGTAATCCTGATGAAAAGTCTTATAATGACTTACTTTTCCAGTATAATGGCACAGGGGGATTGTGGAGAAGGTGTATCACTGTGCCCAAGAAAAGCACACCTTGGTATAGCTCTCCAGAAAAGACAGTCATCTGACTTAATCACAGAATGTTTCCGTTTTCCACTGTCAGAGCAGTTCATGGATAAGTATGTAGAGCCTGGAAACCACAACACTGGGATTGATCTACTCCGGGCCTATCTTTGGCGCTGCCAGTTCTTTTGCCTTTTGTTAGCCTAGGTTTGATGAGCTTCAGGGCTTTGATTGGACTTTGTGCTTGTGCCTGCCGGAGTCTGTATCCAACTGTTGCCACAGGAGTCCTTCATTTCCTTGCAGGTTTGTGTACGCTTGGCTCAGTAAGTTGCTATGTTGCTGGTATTGAACTACTTCATCAGAAGCTGTAGCTGCCTGAGAATGTGAAGGGTGAATTTGGTTGGTCCTTCTGCTTGGCCTGTATCTCAGCCCCCTTTGCAGTTCATGGCTGCTGCCCTCTTCATCTGGGCAGCCCGGACCAACCGAAAAGACTACACACTAATGAAGGCCTATCTGGTGGCATAGATAGGCTGCAGCGTCAATTATAGTTTGCTGCGCCACGGTATTTTTTTAATGTCCATCTTATTCTCGTATTTTTCTCCTCTCTCTCTCCTGCCTTTTTTCTATTCTGGATGTTTATTTGCATTGTTTTCTTATCTTTAAATTTGCGTGGTGGTCTTTGAGAAATCACACCCTTCATATGTCCAAATAGATCTGGATCCAGAATCCAGAAAAGAGAGATTAGTGGATAAAGAGCATAAATTTAGGTAAAGAGTGTCTGTCACCTGAGTGAAGCTGATGTAAAGCACATTTAGCAAGTAACAACTTCTAAGAGACTGAGGTAAAGGTACTCTATTTTGTGGTACTCTATTTTAAAAGAAGTTTCTTATGATTGTCATTAACTTTAGTTTTGCTGTTGTGTAGAACCTATCGTCGATGAATATTAGCGCTGTTTTCAAATGTTATGTAAACTTTATATGATGGAGAAAACATGAATCA